AAGTTCATGAAGATTGCATTTAAGTTATCATGAAGAGTTTACCTTTGATAACAGTGAACCAAGATGGGCTAAATTGTCGATGAGAACTTTCCACCTTACAAGAAATGCAGCGATATTTTTGAGGCAACATTTACTTCATATGCTGTGGAGGGAACACACCCCTGGGAAACTTTTGACAGCTTCTGATCGATCGTTTATCAGTTTATTGTGTCTATTGAAATCTTTGTGCTTTCCAAATCAAAGGCAGAGACCCCACAGAGTAGAGCCTAAGAGAATATATGTTGTGTGAGTTTTCCAAATAACTGAAGTGATGCATACATGAAATGCATTCCGCCTGATAAACACGTGCTACATAATGGGGCGGGATACCATAATAAGTGTTTATACTTGAGAATTGTCATCGAAGAAACTAAGAATCTATTCTTGCATTTTTAAGTTGTTTGGTAAAGTGGAATGATTATTGAAAGGAAAATGACTCGCCAAGATGATATTTTATCTTTCAAATCCTTGGATTTTTTCCTTACAATGATTAAATATAAATGTGAAAAACACTGCAGCCTGTTACTGTAACAGTTCTTCCAGTAAAATCTCTCCTTTATTCATAACTATTCTTCAAATTCAGAATTTCTTTAGTTCTCAGCTGGGAAGATGGTGACGCAGACACCAAACCTTTCAACCCTTTCACTTACGGGGCAACAGTCGACTCGTGTCTTGCACGTGCGAGGCGACGTGTTATTGAAAATCAACTTATCTAACAATGGAAACCCCTTTCATCTGACGGCCTTGCGAACCTTAGAGTCTGGTTGCAATTTCTGGGTGGTCAGATTAAATTAATTCTTTAATGGAAAAAAAAAATTGATAATTACTTTTTTTTGTTAGTTTGATAATGGTATGTTAACAAGTTAATCCGCCCTCCCGCGTGCGAGAAGCTCAGGACCATTTGGTCTTTTAGTTATCGGTTAAAATTTGCTATCTTTTTGGTGCAAGCTTAAGAGGAGTTTTCTTTTCTATGTTAAAACGTCTGCTATGTTTCTTAATCCTTACCTACCTACATACATACATACATACATACATACATACATACATACATACATACATACATACATACGTACATACATACGTTTATTGCAACTCCCAAGCTGGGTTGTTCAGTTACAAAGCCTACATTAAATTATTGTAATATTATAGCAACATTTATTTAGTAACATTATATTTATATATATATATATATATAAGTAAATCTAAAGCTAATACAATACAAATACAAAAGGCCAGTACACGTTAAAAACACTAATGAACTAATACAAAAATTACACAAGAATAGAAGATAGAAACGATTCATCTTTGCGCAACTTTTCCACTAAGGAGCGCATTCAGTAGGCGGAGCTTAAAGGCGTTTACATTCTCAGCTGCTTTTAAGTCCTTTGGGAGGTTATTCCACAATTTGCATCCACGATACGTGAATGCACGTTGCCCAAAGGACAGGCGGCATCGTGGGATGTGGAGCAGATTAGTTTTCTTTCTCCCTAACTGGAATATTGTGATGAAATTTTGTGGGCCGAGGCCACTACGAGACGTTATGTCTAGCAAACTGACTCAACTAACTGGAATAGTTTTAAGAAATGATAATTAAAAATCTCATTAGAATAATGACCGGCAAACAGCAAGAACCACGCTGATACAACGTTTTTTGGTCTTTTATATATTTTGTTACTTTAATCTTCCATGTAATGAAAGTATTGACACACAAATACTACCCCGCTATATTCCATCTTCTTTGTGAGTTCGTTCCAAGAACAAAACCTTTTCGGCGACTGATTAATTTTAAAGTAGTTTAAATCAGAATTTTCTCTTAAACTAAAATTCTTTGTATGGAAAATTAATTGCCGATTAGAACAGAAAAGTTGTCTGAATTAAATGCCATTCAACGTTTTGTTTTAACTTATCACTTGGAGTAGCCGTAACAAGTAATTATAATTTCTTCGTTTCATTTCTAGATTAATTTTTTGGTTGTTAGACTTCTTTTTGTCCAATTAGATGCTGGGTATTATTTATTNAAGGTCTTAAAACTGTGCAGCAAATATGCTGTCAATTCATTTCAAGAAGACTAATTATATGATAATTACTTCACTAAAAAGAGAACAAATATCAGAATAACAGCTTGCAATATAGAACAAAAATCTCAGACGGATGAAATATTTGGGGGTTTTTATTGATGAACATTTAAAATGGGATGCTCAGCTCCAGCACATAAACAATAAAATAACTAAAACATCGGAATTCTATTTAAGCTTAGACATTATTTACCTGTGAGCACACTCAAACAACTGTACTATACTCTCATATATCCATATCTAACATATGGATTGATGTGCTGGGGAACTGCATACCAAACCAGGTTAAATAAAATCAAAATAAGTCAAAACAATGGTATCTGCAGCATTTTCTTTGCTAGCAAAAGAGAAAGTTTTACACCATATTTCACACTATTAGAAATCTTAAGATTAGAGAATATTTTTAAATTAAAAATTGGCACTCTTGTGCATAAAATTCAATATCAAAAAAAGAATATATCTCCAG